ATCGAACGGGCCTTGAAGTTAACGACCATATAAGCCTCTAGTGGCCATCATATAAGTAACTAAGGATTCGAACCTGGGACCACAGAGGGAGCAAACCCCTTAGTCTCAAGTCTTTACCACTTGGCCACCACATAGATGATTCCAGAATATCCATTATTTTTTTTTTTTGATTAATGTGGGTGTCTGGGCCAGCTTGCGCGCACCACGACTAATCCCACGAGCCCTGAAGTTAACGACCATGTAAGTCTCCAGTGGCCATCATATGAGCAATCAAGAATTCGAACCTGAGACCACAGAGAGAGCAAACCCCTTAATCCCAAGTTTTTATCACTTGGCCACCACCTCGACGGAGAATATCCTGAAAAAGCCCTATAAACTAGGCCTATTTTTTTTTTTTTGATTAATGTGGGTGTCCGGGCCAGCTTGCGCGCACCACGACTAATCTCACAAGCCCTGAAGTTAACGACCATGTAAGCCTCCAGTGGCCATCATATGAGCAACCAAGGATTCGAACCTGAGACCACAGAGAAAGCAAACTCCTTAGTCCCAAATCTTTATCACTGTACCACCGCCTAGATGGTCGGAGAATATCCATTATTTTTTTTTAGATTAACGTGGGTGTCCGGGCCAGCTTGCGCGCACCACATTATTAACTGGAGGAGTCATGGTTAATTAGCCATGGAAAAAGTCAAAGAATGTGGTTAATTATGAAGGCTCAAAGCATATGTACATCTCCCCATTTCCTGGTCTATGATGGCTTCCGTATTGTAGCATGATTACTTTGAACTTTTGGGTGGCTTACTTTCGATGGAAGCAGCGGGCGTTAAGTTCACTTCAAGCCAACCATACTCATTCTTTGCTGGTGCAATTATTATTATATGTGGCCTCCTTTAAAATTGCGCTTTTTTAAACTTAAGAAGAAAGATTTTAAATATCTATTCATCGACCTTTTTATTTTAAATTTTAGACTCGGAATTAAAAAAAATATTAAACTTATTATACCAAACTAATCAAAGGATCTGTCCTTGGAAATATTCAAGAAAAAATACTTAATATCAATTAACATAAAATTAATTAAAAAAATGCTACTTACCATAAACAAAATCTAAATACACATACCAATATTTTTCAAATTATATACTTGTGTTGTTTAGCTTGTATTATAAGAAGCGGCTAATTAATCGATTAATTTAATAATTCATTAATATAAGACCTAGGCTAGACGAGCTCATTAAAGAGTACAGAAATAATTTTATTTTATAACTTTATTCTTTATTAAAAAAAGCATGAAATGATCTCATTTCAAAGTTTTATTTTATTTTGTTTTGAAATTATTTTTGGGCAATCCGAACTTCGGGCTATTTCACTTCCAAATTCAGTCTGAAGAGTTAATAGATTTGAGATACAGATTTAAATATAATGTTTAATTAGATTATAATAATGCCGACACGTGTAGTGATCCTATGTGTTGCCCACATTTTGGTGGTTGCAAAGCCCATCATGTCTTCCCAATGATGTTGTCATCATTACCTATCGACACAAGCTCTTCACATTCTCTTAAGAGTTGTTGTTAGACCAGCATCCCTTTGTATTTTTTTCCATGTTACGTGACACACAAGGCACAGAAAGTCTGGAAGAGCGATGTATGTTTTGGCAGGTATTATCATTATAGCCTCTACTAAAAAGTAAAACATGACAACAACAAGCATAAACATAAGGTAGTTTCATATCATATTTGGTGCATCCGAATGTTGTTGTTGGTTGGACAATGGGTAGCCATTTCCATCAAGTAATTATAGCGTGCGTGGATTATTATTATTATAAAAAATGATTTTTTTAATGTTAAAATGACAATTATAATTTTCTTCAATTGTTTTTTACTTTAATGGATAGTGGACAAATATATAATTTTTGTTTTTTATTATAAAATAAAATTTTATTTTATTTTTTTTTCTCTTTATTCTTGATATTTTTATCATTTTACATTATATATATTCATCACTTTTTTTTTCTTATCTTTGTTTTTTTAATATTCTTTTAGCTTTTCCTTTTTTTTTTTATTTATATGTTTTTGAAAAAATATTAATTTTTTTTTACACTTGGAATATTTATCACTCTACATTTGATTTATTTATACCATTCTTTTTATTCTTGCCATTATTTTTTTGTAATTATTTTTCATTTACACTTTTTTTGAAAAATTATTGTATAAATATCAAGGAAATTGTGTTTTAATGTAGCAATTGCAACATTATTATATTTTTCTACTAAGTTAAAAATGAACATAACATCTTATATGTTTTAGTAATGGATGTAATTTTTTTTTATATTTTATTATATATAAGTATTAATCTTTTAATTTATAATTATATTTTTTACTCATATTTATTCGACTTGTAATTAGACGAGTAAAATAGATGTGTTAGTATTTTTTTAGTATTTATTGGTATTGATGATTCTTAATTTATTTAATTAAATAAATGTATGAACTTTTTTTATTTATAATTATGATTTTTTTTTATAAAAAAACATTTAAAAAACTTGCATAATGTTTTTCGCCAAAAAAACATTATCCGGCCATGTTTAAATAACTATAATCAACTACTTTTTAATTTGTACTTCCATAATCAATTTACCAAACCGATTTATTTTGTAAGTGCAGCTACTCGTTATTTTGTCTGCTTCAGCCATTTTTTTTTTTAACTCAATGTAAAGCCATCATTGAGTTATTATTTTATAAGATCAAAATCTACATTTAGTAACACATTTTTAGATTTTTTATTCAGTCCATGATACAGGATTATATATTATGATTTTTTAAAAAGAATTTTAATAAAATATGAGGTTAATTTGAATTAATTCTTTTGTTTTCTTCTATTTGTAATTTTTTATTAACACATTTACATTTATATTAACAACAATATATATAAAAAAAGTATAATCTGAACTAGGTAATTAATATTTATTCTGGTAATTAAATTAAACCCAATCCACGACATTTTTTGATTTACATATTTTCATAACCAATTATAACTCATTAATATAAATAATATTCAAATATCAAACCCGTCTTGGTATAACTTCTGTGAAATAAAATGAAAGGTAAAACAAAACGTGAATTCTCAGCCACAAAGTCAAATTAGGGATTTCATTATTGTGTGTTTTTTTCCCCTTCAATTTTTCGTAAAAGAATCCTGTAAAGTGGGATGCATTTTTCAATATGACTTTTGCCTGGGAGGAGAAACCATCAAGAGACTTGTGCAAGCGTGCTAGCTGGGGTATGGCAGCCTGTGTACCTAACCCTTTGCCATGGCAATGAAGGAACACAAATTAATGAAGATGAAGTCAAATGCTTTTTGATCCTAAGAAAGGCCAAAATGCTCACAAAGAGCTGTGGATTGTTATGTGTGGCAGAAATAAAGAGAATCTTCTTCTCCATGTAGAGGAATGAAATCTGAACCAACCGTAACTCATCCATCCAGATTTCGAATTAGAAATTAGGCCAACTGGGTAGCTAAATATGGAATCTCAATTAATGAATGAGCATGAGCTGGAGACAAAAACTACAAAAATAAAATAAAAATAGGACACAAGACGCTATCGAAGGTGACAAATTAATATTAATTTCCAACACACGTGTTATACTCTAAGAACATATTAGATTGGAATGTTTTTCTAGCCAAAATGTCCTTATGTGATATGTTTTTATAAATTGCTGAATTTCTTGAAAATAAAATAAAAGTATGCCCCCAATTGACGTGCAAGAAGATAATTTTTCCTTGGAAGAAAACTTATTTTGAAAGGAAATAAGAGGTTAGAAGAAAGAAATGATGTAACGCACCAATATGTAGGCTTCTATGTCAGAGATGGGGCTTTTAAAGTCAAAATTTAATAAAATGACTTGTTTATAAAGATTATTTTTTGAAAATATTATTTTTTTCTGGAATGAACAAACACAACATATGTTGTAAAAAGTGGCTCGCGCAGAGCGCTGTGATCTAGGGTAGATTATTTTTTTAATATATAAAAAAACTAGTTAAAATTAACTTATTAAATTATAAATTTTAATTATAAAATTAAGATAAATTCATGAAAAATAAAAAATAAATTATGATGTCAATTTCTAATCAATCTAATATCTAAATAATTAAATTAAAAAAATAAAAAAATAAACTAAGTCAACCCGAGCTAACCTATTAAATCATGAGACCGATATAATTTTATAAAATAATTATAAAAATTTATTTACAATAGATCCAATATTAAATGTTAAAATAAAAAAAATTAGAAGAATGTAATAACTCCATATAAAACAAACAAATAAATAAAAAAATTCATTTCCCAAACAAGCTAACATTGAATGATAAAGCTAGAAATAAAAACTAAAAAACATTATTGAGTTGTTGGAGGATCCAATTAAGAAAAATCAATTAATTAAAAAAAACACAAAAAAACTAAGCTAACCTAGCTAAAGCCACGACTCAGATCATTAGATTGGAATAACTACACAGAAAACTAATTAAAAAAATTATGAAGCCTAATAAAAAAAAATCAATTAAAAAATTACAAAAAAAAACAAAGTCAACCCTTTAAACTAGCGAGTTAAGTCATGATTTCGTGATAACTTTATAGAATAAAACACAAAACTTAATTTTTAATTAATTTAATATTGAATGATGAAATAAATAAAAATATATTAATAAAAACTAAAAAAATAATATGAGTCAATCTAAATTAACCTAATAAATTTATAATCTGAATTATAAAATTATAATAAATTCATAGAAAACAATTGAAAAGAAAAATGAAACCTTACTTTCAATATATTAAGAGGAAAAAAACTAAATCTATAAGACATGTTTGAACCCTAATAGAAAATAAATTAAAAAAATTATGAAACATAATTTTTAAAACAATTTACTATTAAAATAAAAAATAAAAAAAAAGGTTGTTAAAGAGTGAAATTAAAAAAAATAAAAAAATATTATTCTATTTTGCATATGTATAATGATTCACACCCTGTTCACACCCTGGAGTGTTTTGTTAATGCATTGTAATATTTATATAAAACTATCTCTTAATAAGAGTTAAGAGAAAAAAGAAATGATGTAACGCACCAATATGTAGGCTTCTATGTCAGAGATGGGGTTTTTAAAGTCAAAATTTAATAAGATGACTTGTTTATAAAGATTATTTTTTAAAAATATTATTTTTTTTCTGCAATGAACAAACACAACATATGTTGTAAAAAGTGGCTCGCGCATAGCGCTGTGATGTAGGGTGGATTATTTTTTTAATATATAAAAAAATTAATTAAAATTAATTGGTTAAATTATAAATTTTAATTATAAAATAAGATAAATTCATGAAAAATAAAAAAATAAATTATGATGTCAATTTTTAATCAATTTAATATCTAAAGAATAAAATTAAAAAATTAAAAAAATAAACTAAGTCAACCCGAGCTAACTTTTAGATTATAAGACCGATATAATTTTATAAAAAAATTATAAAACTTCATTTACAATAGATCCAATATTAAATGTTAAAATAAAAAAATTAAAAGAATGTAATAATTTCATATAAATCAAATTAATAAATAAATAAATAGAAAGTTCATTTCTCAAACAAGCTAACATTGAATGATAAAATTAGAAATAAAAACTAAAAAAAATGATTGAGTTGTTGGAGGGTTCAATTAAGGAAAATCAATTAATTAAAAAAAACATAAAAAAACCAAGCCAACCTAGCTAAAGTCATGACTCAGATTATTAGATTAGAATAATCTTACAGAAAACTAATTAAAAAAAATTATGAAGCCTAATGAAAAACAATAATTACAAAATTACAAAAAAAACAGAGTCAACCCTATAAACTAGCGACTTAAATTATGATATCGGGATAACTTCATAGAATAAAATACAAAACTTTATTTTTAACTAATTCAATATTGAATGATGGAATAAATAAAAATATATTAGTAAAAATATAAAAAAATAATATGAGTCAATATAGATTAACCTAGTAAATTTATAATCTGAATTATAAAATTATGATAAATTCATAGAAAACATTTGAAAAGAAAAATAAAACCTTACTTTGAATATATTTTCAGTTGAAGGTTAAAATTAAGAGGTAAAAAACTAAATTTATGAGACATGTTTGAAACCTAATAGAAAACAAACTAAAAAATTATGAAACATAATTTTTAAAATAATATATTATTAAAATAAAAAATAAAAAATAGGTTGTTAAAAAGTGAAATTAAAAAAAAATTATTCTATTTTCCAGATGTATAATGATTCACACCCTTAAGTGTTTTGTTAATGTATTGTAATATTTGTATAAAACTATCTCTTAATAAGAGTTAAGATTAGTTTTTGGCACAGTCTATATATATTTTTAAATATTATTAAGTCACAAAGTAATAATGCCATCATTTTCTCTTATAAGTCTTACAATAGTTAAACATCGAATCTTAGACATATCAATATACTAGTCAAAAATTTAAGAAAAAATAGCAGGAGAGAATAAAAACTTTAATGACGAATAAAAAAGAAAAAAAAAAGGATGGTTTATGTTTTTCAATTCAAAACCTAAAATTTAATATAATGATGCTTCATTAATTCTCGTAAACAAAGTTGACTCAACCTAAGCATTTCTTATCATATCGAGTTCGAATCATTTCAAGTTCTCAAAGTAAAAAGATAGACCTGTGATCCTATTTTTGCCAAAATCTAATTCATATTCGCCACCTCGATATGCGCATGGGTTAGGATTTACTTCAAGAGTGTATAAGAGGGTTTTGTGCTTTTGCAATGTGATTTTCAAAAATATTTTGATTTTAAAAATTATTAAATTTAAAAAATAATAATATATTTTTAAGTGTTTTATAATATTTTTCAAATATAATGTTTTTCAATAGTGATTTTCATTTGAATATATATAAAAATTTTTTTGTTTATTTTTAATATCGACATATCAAAATAATATATAGATTTTTTTTATTTTTAATATTAACGTATCAAAATAATTAAAAAAATATAAAAATATTAATTTAATATTTTTTAAGTTAAATACATTTTTAAAATCCACCGAACACATTTTTTAATATAGCCTTTTACTCATATTATAACTCAAGAGTATGGTTTCTAGAGGTGAAGGCGAAAACTTGACTTATAAACCTCGCTGCCACTTTACATAATCGTTAACGAGAAAAATAGCGTGAAAAACAATCTCGAATCCCATTGTTATAACATTACAAGGGTAAAAAAAATGATGCACCACATATGGCATATGCTCCAAAGCAGCATCACAACAAACTTCCCAAAATCTCTTCTGGGAAGCAAAGCTGCTAGATAAATTAATGTAACGATCATACACTGTATTCCTGTTATTGTTACTCAATCGAACAGCATATAACTTGCGCAATTGTCAATCAATTTTGAAGTTCCGCTACCTTCACACCAAGCTAGAAGCTAGTTTTCTTCTCTCCTATGGAATTGTCCCATAATGCAAGAACCCAGCAGGGATCAGGACCATGCTTCAACATGGTATCTGCCATCCTTTTCCAATCTCCTAAGCTGCAAAACAGCAGTTTCCCTTGAAAATCCAGCCTCGAGCGCAAAAGTCTTTGTACATAAAGTCATTCTCCTCATTTCGACAACCAAAAAAACATCAAAATAGGAGCAGCTGAGCCAGACACATCTTGCATGGCTCTTTCCTCGACAAATCCATGAAAAGGAACACAAACTGTCCCAGGTCTAACCAAGTACAAGCAGAGCTGATGGTGATGGTGGAGGAAGGGGAACCCTTGTGAAACCATACAGGAAAATATACACCTGCTCATGCAAATATACGTGGCAACACCTCAACAATCAGAACTGAGCTAGCAAGGAGCATGAATATCAGACATGATTAGGAAGAAATACATGACTTTGTTAGTTTCTTTCCTTCAATTGAAAGGAAGAAATTTCAATTACAAAGTTTCGACCTTCATTTCCATTAGAACCATTGCTTAGAAGAATTTGACTTCGCCAGTTGGAAAATCAGAAAAGTTGACAGAGGCCAGAACATCATCACGCCGAGCAACTAAAACTCCCATTCTTATCACATTATCAACCTCTATCATATATAAGCCTTCAGAAATCGCTTGCCAGATTTAATATAAGTTAAAAAAAAAAGTACCTTTTCCTTTATGATACAACAGTACTGTGATATCTTTTGTCACACATGAAAACGATCAACACCTAGTTATTTAGTTTAAACATCATTATAAACATGAATATACTAGTTTTATCGGTAAAAATTTATTTATAGTTAGAAAAAATATTCGTATTTTTATCATATCCTGTCTTAAGTAAACTACATTGTGTAGTTTGAATATGATTTAGAGCTCATTTGAGATTGTGATAATGATTGCGGTTCAAAGTAATTTTCACTTTGATATGTTTCAAAATAATTTTTTTTATTTTTTAAAAATTATTTTTGAGATTAGTACGTCAAAATGATCTAAAAACATAAGAAGAGTATTTTTTAGCAAAAAAAAATGAATTTTGAGAGACTGCGATTTCAACCGCGTTCCTAAACGCGCTCTTAAAACCGTGTTCCCAAATACACTCTTAAAAGTTTTGATGAGTTCCTTCCAGTAGTCTATCTATAGTTTAGGGTGATAATTTATTTCTGTGAATAAATCTAGTTTTATTGAATTCATTATGAGTTGTTGTACCGAAATGAATTCGTATGAAAAATATTCATGTAGGTATCAGGTTCACCTATCCTGGAAGGTAGAAGGATTTTTCATAACTCATGTGTTATGATAAAAAATACTCTTAATTAAAATTTATGACTATTCAGAATAATTGTAAAAAATTTCTAACTAATTCTTGATATTTAAATATTAGTCTACTTGTAGGTCCAAGTGAATATCAAAATATTGACTAGTAATTCTAATAAATTAATATTTTATGAGTTATTGAAATATTAATTAAATTCTCATAGATTTAATAAATTAGTTATTAAATATAAAATGCATGCAAATATGTATTTTGTAGAAAATTCTAAAACACAACATATATGCTTTTTATATAGTTTTTTAGAAAAAAAACATGATTTTTTAAATTTTTGTGAGGCTCAACACTATGCACACAAATAAAAAAGAAAATTTTGTATCTTTTTTGCAAGAGATTTTTATTTTTGTGATTTTCTAAAATTTTTAAAGAAAAATAGATATATTTCGGATCAACAACTTACAATATAAATCTACAATGTAAATATTAAATAAAATATTTAAAAAATACAAGGGATTCACAAATAATTTTAAAAAATATTTATGATTTTTTTAGATTTTTTAAAAATTGTTTAGAACTTATTTTACAAGATTTATGGGGCTTGAAGCCCAAATTCAACCCAGTTTAATTGGTCAATAAACGGCCCAACAATTTGTATTAATTTTTTTAGTGGAGTTGATTCTAACCCAACAATGTAAGCTGGGCTAAAATAAACCCACCCATTTTATTTTATTTTTCTTTACCGCTAGCACGACCCAGTGGTGGAAGATTTCTGGTAGGAATAATTGCCAACAAGTAATTAATTAATTCTCCGTGTATTTTCATGCACAGGACCCTAATGCCTATAGTTTTGTAGGGGAGGAAGGGGGAGAAGAAGTTACCATGCTTGGGGTTGATAGCTTGCTAGTGGAGGAATTAAGAGCTGGCGGCTGACACTGCTATTCGGAGAAAATGCACGCTGCGGTGCTGGCGACTGCGCCACTGCTGGATCAAGCTGCTGTTGCTGCTCCTGGGATGATGAACTCTAATGCTGTTGTAGCTGGGACGAACCACCTTTGCAGACGCTGTAGGAGGATGGTCTGTCAAGAGGTCACTGCTGGTGCATTGTTGTCGCTGGTGTGGAGGAGCTGCCAGCGTGGAGAGGCTGGACGTTGTCACTGGCGTTCATGTAGCTGAGTAGCTGGAACAGGAGAAGATGAAATGCAGAAACTGGAGGATCATGGTGGAGGCTGCGACTGGCTCTGCTGCCGTCGAGGATGGAACTTTGAGTTTGTTGTGCAGGAAGTAGCTGGTGGTGGAGGAGCAGTCGGCCCGAGGTGCTGCTATTGCACGGTTGAGGAGAAAGATGCTGCTCCTGCTCACGTTGCTGGCCTTGGAATGCAGAGGAGCTACTGGAGTTTGTTGTTGATGGCGTGACCGGTACCGAAGCCAGGGCTGCTGTTGTTGCACCGATTAGGGAGGGAGCTGCTGATGAAGTTGTGAATCAACGATGCTGATGCAGAGGTGCTGGTGAAGCTAATCACAGTGGAACCAATGATGCTGATGCAGAGATAAATCACTATAGCTGAGGAGGAAATGGGTGAAGTCTAGTTCCCTTGGGGTTGCTGGGCGTGATCAGCTATTTTAAGAGAAAAAGAGTCACTTTTTTGTTCTACGTTTTTGGTGCGTGTGTGTGAGAGAGAGGGAGAGAATGAAGGAAACAGTTTCTAGCTTTTCCTTCCTATTTTTTGCTGGCCTCTCCAACTAATTCTCTCTTTGAAATTCTGTCCTTAAATTTCTGTCCCCTTTTTATATTTGTGTAACCACCTGTGAAAATTTTATTTAGTTTGAAAGTAAAATAAACCAAGATTAATCATTAGTTATTAAAAATGAATTTTAATTATTTATTTGATAACTTGAAAACAAAGCAAAAAAAAAAATGAACTCTTGAATTAAAAGAACAATTATAAATCATATTATAAAAAAATGGATTAACTTGTAAGACGGCTTATAATTTTTAAATTGATTCTATCCCTTTCATAATTATAATTAGATTATTAAAAATTAAATAAATTATTTTTTTATTTTAAATTCTTTGAAAAATTCAGAAAATATCACAATTACATCAATAATATTTTTTTTTGGCTTTTTTCAAAACATTTCTAAAATAGAGTAAAAAATAAGGTAGGCAAACAATGGAATTAGATATAAAAAAGGACAAAACTATTTTAACAGATCACTTTAATTCGATGCCACAACTAGATCTAGTTATTACATGAGAGAAAGTTTTGAATCCAAATGTGCATTATTTTTAGAAGTTGATAGCTATTGAATGGGAATTAACTAATGTGCTGCAAAACATGTGAAAAGGCTTTTCTGGCTGCCCTTGAATCTATTTCTGCTTATCATTACCGTTATACAAAATGTTAATTAATGATAAACTTTTAATTCTTTATGCAAGAAAAGTACATAAAAAGTTAGGCTTCGATTATGAATTTGCGATGCCATTTTCGCCAAAAAGCCCGATCCTGAATGTTCTTTTTTCCTTCTTCATTCATTTTGCTCTGTACACCTCAAATATGGTTAGCACAGAGAAAAAAAAACTAATGAAATGGGATAAAGAGCAAGGTCGAAGGAGAAAGAAAAACAGCATGTTATAAAGGTGGCATCTTTTGTTTTGCTTGAACATCTTCAATAGAAGAAAACAAGAACGTACAGGATTCTTGCCTCTAAGAAATAGTGTCTAGGGGAATCTGACACAACATCCATGGTTAATTCCACAAAATTTTCAGTTGCATATGATCCTTTGATTCATTGCTTTCAGCATCAAGATGGTGACTCTCCATCCCTCTTGGATGATCCTGAAACGAGACACATTGCTCAATACTGAGGGCAAAATGTGACAGCTATATCTTACGAGCAAAAGATAAGATATCGCTCCCTATAAACAGAAAGATTTCAGCTTGCTGCTGCATGTTTAGCTCAAATGTGCTGTAAAGGTCAAGGGTTATTCTATTTCGAACTACAGAATTATCGATCTATAATGGTGCACCAAAAATAAACGTTAAACCAAAGGTAGGTACCTCTTATGGTGCTACAACAACTCACATAGGATGAAGCAAAATTTCGAGCTGAATATGTGGCTGTGAGGGGTGAGATTTTGTCTCATTGCAGGATATAGCAAAATGTCAGCCATGGAAGCTGGTGTATCTGCTTAGCCTGAGGTAGCAACAGAAAAATTACAGTGTCCTCATGAGGTAAGGAACTCTGGATACAGTACGAATTTGTAAAGCTGGCAAACATTTCTCTCAAGCTATCAGTATAATTAGGCAAACTAAAATAACTCCTTAAAAATAAAAAAGAATACAGTTCTTAAACTAAACAATTGTACTTTCTTTCATTTTCCATCATTTTCATAGCGACGAAACAGAAACACAAAATGAAATAGGAAATTCAAAATTTAATAAATGATCCATTACTCATTAAATAAAAAAAAGGTGATATTCAAAGTAAAACCACATAAAAATTTAAAAAAAATGCATAAAAATTCCATTTTCCTTCACTTTCTCATGAAAAAAATATTTGCTAAAGATTTCCACTGTTTGCTAAAAATATTTACTGAAGTTAAATTTTATTTGACATATCGGGTCAACTTGTCATCTAGATGACCGACAAAACCCTATATATATATATATATATATATATATATATTACTACATATAAATAAATAGCTAGGTTAACATATTTTTTTTAAATCAATTACATGAACATTTCTACGTGGAATAAATGTTCTCGGGTTGTATATTCTCCAAAACAAAGAGGGCATTAATAAAAAAAAATAGTTACAGGAGTAGTGGTTTTAGTCAAAGGAGGGATATAAACAAAAAAGAAAAAAAGTGGTTTTAAAAGGAGGAAAAAAAATATTAATTAATGAACACAAAGGTCTGGAGAGCATGCGCATTGCCTTAATCAAAGGTTTTTCTCTTGCTTAACATAATTTTAGACACGTGACGTTATTATCTTTTTTTATTATTATTAGTTAGAAATTCATATCAAAGTTCAACTGCATAGATAGTAATATAAGTGTTTGTTTTTTCAATATAAAATTGTAAAATCATTAACATATAATCTATATTCAAGAGAAAAGTTGTGTTTTTTCAATATGGGATAGAAAAACCTTATTGGTTTAAATATTTTAACATAAAAAAAGAATATAATATCTTTTCAATATTAAAAAAAAAACCTTAAAACCTTTTGAAATAATTTTCTAGACTTTATTATTCACAACATATATAC